GTGGAGAAAGAGATATATTTTGGTTATACTAAAAAAGTTATGCTAGATTTGATGATATAGTTTTTTTTTGGTGGTGCTAAGTTACACATAAATTTTATGCACTAGTATTAATTTTGGTTTTATCCCAAAGATTAATGATCAGATCTAGTATATCTTTTTATGTAATCACATAAAGAAAATCAAATTTAAAGTGGTTGATGCAATGGTTTACTTATGTTCGCTTTGTCCTAAACAGGAGTGAGCAAAGACGGTCAAGTACGGCACTTCTTCCATCGGCCATCGAAGGCTTACACGACCGGAACACGAAAACGTAGAAAAGTGAGCACCGATGAGGAAGGACACGAGACACGGTGGCACAAAACAGGCAAGACCCGACCCGTTTTGTCCCAATCAGGAGAAGCCGGTTTCAAGAAGATCCTAGTGCTCTACACCAACTATGGTCGCCAAAAGAAACCCGAGAAGACGAATTGGGTGATGCATCAATATCATTTAGGCCACAATGAAGACGAAAAAGATGGTGAACCAGTCCTCTCTAAAGTCTTCTACCAAACACAGCCTAGGCAATGTGGTGGTTCGACCGAGACTAAACCGAAGAATATCGTAAACCTTAACCGGTTTGGCTATGAAAATCTTCAGGCTGGTTATGGGTATGAGGATGGAGGGAAACGTGAAGAGACGACGCAGGTTATTCGAGAGTTGGTGGTTCGTGAAGGTGACGGGTCATGTTCGTTTCTTAGTTTTACTTGTGATGCAAGTAAGGGTAAAGAAAGCTTCATGAAGAATCAATAGAACATAATATTATAAAAATGGAGGTTCTTTGTGGAGTAAAGATGAGGAAAAGAATGATGTGAGTGAGAGAGAGCACAGATTCTTTGTGTGTAGGTGTTGGGTAACTATCATAGTAAATTATCTCAAAGCTTTTGGGAGATTTAGGTCTTAACCTGTTTTTTTCTTGTTTTGGAATTAAATTGGGGGAGTAACTTTAACCTCGAGACATTTTACTGATCTCTGTTTTTTATTTCTTTGGTTCTAAATAAATTCTGTCAAAAATACTGTAATAACTTCTTTTTGGTCAACTATTGTAATAGATTTTTTCTTTTCAATTATTGTAATAAATTTATAAATTTAAGCTAATAATATGATAAATATAGGGCCTATATGAAATTTGGAAACTCGATCTCTTCGTCCAGCTTTCAATTAGTAAGTACGTGTTTATCATATCCATTCAAAAAATAAAATTCGATATACTTATGCAGTTTGATTTTCTTTTTAAAAATATATCAAAAACTATAACGATCGTATCCTGTATATATATGAAAAAGAATAGTATATTAAACTAAAAAAAAACAGTATATTTGTAGTTCTTATTGCCATTAATTAAGTATTAGGTTTCACAGCGGATTTTGCATTGTTAATTTGTAAAATTATTTCCATAATCTGATTTTTAGCCAATATAATCATTAGAAAATTAACTTTTCATTACATTACTCATTACACCAAAAGATTTTGGTTTAGTGGTATTGTTTCAACCCATTATTTCCATATAATTAAGCACCGGTCTCAGGACTGATCTCTATAATTTAAAAAGAAGGGAACAACATCCTTAGACTCGATTCCTCAAACACATTCTCCATGGATGTCTCAACCTCACGGAACTTAACCGGAAAGGCATTCGTGTCACCATCGTCATCATTAAGAACAAGTATGGGTGCACCGTAAAAGCCAGTGGTAGCACCAACACTCTTACCATTGTGAACGAGTTTGTAAGTGTTTTGGTCGTTTCCATATTTCTGAGTCCTAAAAAAGCTCTCTCTTGCTCGAGCTCCCACCAGTGGTTACATATTGCTTGTTGGAACTTGAGAAGGAGTCATCAACTATCCATAACTTTGAGGAAGGGCAAAGCCAGATGGGGGACTGGAATTCAATGGTTAGGTCGACGTTTGTCGATATATTACCTTTGTCGGAAATAATCACAGGAAGGCCTGGTTGAAATGGAAGGAGTTTTTGGACAATACCTAATGGACACAAATGGCTTAAGTCAACGCTTGCTGGGACAAGACCACCTGCTTTCTTGTCTGAAACTGGTTGGATGAAGTATTGAGTCTGTCTCTTAAGTGGGTTTCCGTTTGTGTCATTGACGGGTTCTTGGATTATTGCAAAAGCCGACACGAAAAGGAACAATGAGAT